CAGCACCACAACTCAAAAGCATCAACTCTTCTTCGGTCTTCCCTATTCATTGTCCAGCTCTCACATGCATACCAGGCGATTGGAAATATCATACTACTCATTACAATTCAGTATTTCTTTGACTACTAAAAAAATATTTCAAGATCTTTGTTGCTGTTGTTGTTATGTGTCGTCAAGTCAGACCCGACTCATAGCAACCCCTCCTTGGGTTGCTGAGGCAGTATCACTACAGAAGTAGTTTGCACAACCTTCCTTCCAAGGAGTGGCTGGTGGATCTTACAATGCCTTAAAAGCTATGAACAAAGAGTAGTAACTGGACAGCAGTTGTAACAGAGAACAGGTTCTGGAGAATTCTGTCTGACAGATACCAAATACTGTTTGCTTTCAGCAAATAAACTGGTTAAGATAGTATCACTATGTTTTTTTTTTTAATTTCCTTTAAGTTATTTTGCTATAAAAGGTTAAGATTATTATTTTTTAAATATTCTATTGTTTCTTACAGTAACTTTATACATATTAGGATGACTATAGAGTAGTCAAGATTTTAAAATTAACCTTAAAGTTTCAAAATAATTCTTAAGATTCCAGTTTACTATAACACTTTACATTCCTTAGCATTCATTCAAACATGATTACTGGAAACAAACATCCTTCATTTGACAACATGATTAAAAAGTTTTTTCTCTGATCCAAGGAAACGAGTATGAATGAAATCATTTCTGTTTAAGCATTAAAATAATAATAATAATCAGATGATGACACAGAAGACTGAGCCAGGAGTCAGAAGGTGCAGATAGGACTGACTTCCCTTTAAGATCCCTTCCAGCTCTCAGATTCTAAGGTGAAAACATTCCCTCAGAGCTATACCCTGAATTTTAAGTTTCTGGTACCTAGCAAAGTTTTCTTTTTCTTTTATTAACTCAAATATTACATTAATTAATACAAACTGCCCTACAAATCTGTATGCCAACTAATTTAATAGAGACAGCTTTTTTCTTTTTTTCATTAATTCCACAAATCATTTAGAGCTTCATGTTCGAGGAAAAGTGTCCTGGTGGTGCAGTGGTTAAGCCCTGGGTTGTTAACCAAAAGGTAAGCAGTTCAAACCTACCAGCCACTCCTCAGGTGGAAGACCTGGCAATCTGCTCTGGTAAAGATTAAACCAACCAAACAAACTAACCCACTCCACAGAGTTGATTCCAACTCCTAGTAACCCTATAAAGCAGAGTATAACTCCCCCATAGGGTTTCCAAGGCTGTAATCTTTAGAGAAGCCGATTGCCTCATCTTTCTCTCACCAAGAAGCTGCTAGGTTCAAACTGTGGAACTTTTGGTTAGCAGTCTCAATGCCTTAACCACAGCGTCACCAGAGCCCCTCTGATAAAGATTAAAGCCTAGGAAATCCTATGGTTCCATAGGACACCATGGAACTCTGTCCTATATGGTTGCTGAGTCGGAATCTACTGGATGGTAATAGGTTGTTTTTTTTTTTTTTTTAAACCTGGACTCAGGTTCAGACTCAATTTCAGACACGAGGAAACCAGGAAACATCCAGTATTCTACTTGCTCCGTGGTCAGGACAATGATTGCCAAGCTATAAGGAATATAAGACTCTGCACGGAAGCTTATGCGAGCTCTGTAGGTGTAGTGCCTAGGGCATTTGACTGCTAATCACGAGGCTGGCAGTTCAAACCCACCAGCCGCTCCAGAGAAGGAATATTGGGCAATCTACTTCCGCAGACATACTGCCTCAGAAACTCAAAGGGGGGGGTGGTGGCTATGAGTCGCCATCTACTTGATGGCAGTGTTTCCCCTGTCCCCCAGAAGAGCTTATTAAGGAGCTCTGATAGCGCAGTACTTAAGGTATTTGTTCAAACCAGCCCTCGAAGTAAAGATTTACTGCCTTGGAAACCTAATGGGGGTCGTTATGAGTCGGGACTAGATGGCAGTGGGTTTGGTTAGAGAGGCTTATTAAAAGGCAGCGTCAAGAATTTCAGCCGTAATGCGTCAGAGTCTCTGGGGATGGTGCCTCCTAACCCCCATGTTCTCCCCTATGCCTCTGAAGGTTTTGTGGGTCTCATTCCACACACCCCTCCAAAGAGAGAAAGAGATAGAGGGGGAAAACCACTGGACCGCAGTGGCAAAAGCTCTAGACTCAAGAGTCAGGAGCTAATAACCTGTTGCTTGATCTTGAACGAGTTATTTAGAATCTCTAAGGCCCAGTATCTCCATCAGATAACGAGTTGACTAGGAGTTTCTACCCTCCCTTCTGCTCTCAAATGTTACTGACTTTAAGAATCTAATGATGGGGGAATGGGCAAGGATGTTCTACTCTGTAGTCCAAACAACCCAGCCCCAGTTACGCAGGATTCCTTTCCCTGGCCCCCTCATCCCCAAGAAGTGGAAAAGTGAGGCGAGGTCGGAATCGTGTGAGAGGGGAGGAAGCAGCCAAAAGAAGCTTGCTAGAGAGTGTTGGCGTAAAGCAGGGATCACTCCTGGTCCTCGTCCTCGTCGTTCTGGTCCTGGTAGCGAATGAAGACGACCAGCATGACAAAACCGGTGAGGATGCAGAGAGAGCCGACCACCAGATAGGCGATGCCCAGGAAGGGGTTCTTGCCGCCCATCCACGAGATGCTGCTTAAGATGATCCGCTTGTGGCCGCCGAAGGCGCGCACCGGGTAGTTGTAGGTGATGTTGATGAAGTAGGAGCCCCTAGGCAGGCCGGCCGAGTAGTTGCCCTGGCGGATCCGAGAGTACAGCTTGCGGAACGTGGGCAGCGCCGCGATGCGCATCCACACTACGAAGTCCTGGTTAATGAAGCCCGTGTTGTTGGGGTCGGGGCTGAGCTCGTAGACCGGCCGGCGCCAGTTGGGCGGGGGCGCGGTGCCTTGAAAGGCCAGCGCCAGGCTGCCGTTCACCAGCGGCGGGTTGCGGAACTTGACGTGGTAGTCGGTCCACCAGGCGATGCCCGTGCGGTCGAGCGGCACCTCGACGTAGGGCCCACCGGGCCGGCGTTGGTGCCACAGCGAGAAGGAATCGTTGAAGAGGCTGTTGGCGATAGCGCCGCAAGGCGCTATGGGCAGGCCGGTGGCGCTGCGCTGGTAGGGGGCGCACTCGTTGGCCGGGTTGCGCAGCGCGCTCGGCCAGCCGCTCAGCTGCTCGTTGTCGCGGGACACGCTGTAGCGCCGGTTGTTCTGGTAGAAGTTGGAGAGCTCATAGTACAGGTACACGGGGCCCTGGAAGAGCTCCGGCAGCGAGAAGTACCAGGCGCACGAGCAGCTGGGCGGTGGCGCGCGGCCCTGGCCAACCGCGGCGCACACCGAGCAATTGCCAGTGCCCGGGTTGCCCGTGTAGTCGTACTCGAGCTCCTTGATGCCGTTGGAGGTGTAGTAGAGGCCCAGGCCGAGGCCGATGAAGGCCAGGCCCGTGCAGAAGAACAGCGGCAGCGCGATGCCGGCCGACAGCAGCGGCTGCCAGGCGGGGAGGCGCTGCTGCGTGAACGCAGTGTTGTCCGGCTGGTGGGCGCCCCGCGTCGCGGCTCTCCAGGTCATGGCAGCCAGAGTGGAACGGAGCGCTGGACCGAGGGTCGCTTGGGGTGGGGCCTGCTGCTTGGGGCCTCCCCCTCCGCGAGTCCGGGGCTACACTCGAGTCAGGTTTCGCTCCAGCTCAGGTGAGTTCTTGCGCTGGCCCCGCCTCCACCTTCCGCACAGGTGAGTCTTAGGTCAGGTTGTGAGAAGACCGGACCCCTCAGTTCCGCCTCGGCCCAGGTTATCCCTGCCGACTCCGCCCCGCTGGTAACCCGCGGCCTCGCTCCGCCCCTTCCGAGGTGAGTCTAGTGGGTGTTCCTTTCTTTACCTGGCGGGCCCAGCACACGTTTTCTCTCGGTCCAAATGTCAGCTCCTCCTCCTTGAGGTAAGTTGTGGCCTCAGGCTGCCTCAGAGTGGCTTATACCTTGTTCAGGTACTACCTTCCTTTCTGCCTTTCAGTTAATAACAACGCCTGGACTAGTCCTTCCCGAAATCATGGGGGCTGCAGCTTCCAGCAGAAAGTTCACCTGAGGGCTTATTTACACCGTGGGTCCGAAGGCTTGAAGCTATCAGACTGTTAATTCTCTCTCTCTCTCTCTCTCTTTTTTTTTTCTGAGGGTTGATGAGGGGGTGGCAGGAAAAAGTCATTCCAGACCCTCTTGTCTTTGTGGGTTAACTTATGGACTCTTTTAACTTCTGTATCCAGCCACAAATTATAACGCCCAGGAAATTACTCAGTAGTGATGTTGTTTCAAATCCAAGGCCTGCATTTAAATTCTAGCTTATGTTTTTTAAAGGAAAAATTATATTCAGACCCGAATTCCCTAACTTGGCTGCATAATTAAGACAAATAGAAAATTCTCCAAAATGACCTTTAAAAAGGAAAAGATTGGAGAGGTTCAGAGCCTCTAAATATGTTTCTAGCTGTTGGAGAAACCACACAAGGAGAAAAATGCACTGGGCTCCTTTCTATTTCTTTTTCTTTTCAGATCATTTGTGTGACTGGAGAAAGGCTTGCTCCTAGGGTCCCAGGAGACCTAGCTGTTATCCACAGTCAAGGACTTTGGAGTATTTGGCCAAGAAGGTAAACTGCAAGGATCGTAGGGCTTATTGTAAAGAGATCCCAAATGTGCTCTGAACATTGCCTGGGATTCTGGCTTTTATATCCAGGCTAGTATAAACCATATAAGGGATATTGAGTCATTTCAACTCTGAGCTAAATCCTCCCTAAGTACTGAGGCCTACTTCTCCTTCAGCTCATTTAATGCAAATAAAGTATTTTCTGCATTACACGTCTGTACCTACCATAGTATATTACATTCAGGAAGCATTCAAAACACCTAAAAATTTTGCTTGTTAAATCAAACAACAGGAATTATTTATTTTAACCAGAAAAAGAACCCACTGCCATTGAGTTGATTCTGACTCATGGTGACCCCCATAGGGTTTCCAAGGCTATAAATCTTTATGGAAGCAGACTACCTCACCTTTCTCCTGTGGAGCAATTGGTGAGTTCAAACTGCCGGCTTTTTGGTTAGCAGCTCAATGCCTAATCACCGCACCACCAGAGCACCTATATTTATTTTAAGTATCTTTCAAATGTGCCATGTGGTAAGCAACACAGAAGGCAGAAAATATTAATCTAAAAAGGATCTTTGATGTCAGGGCAGTTGTAGCCTTATAGTGGCATATGCCACTGCCCTTGAGTTGGATCCAACTCATAGTGACCCCTCCTTGGGTGTCCGAGGCGCTATCTCTATGGAAGTAGATTGCCCAATCTTGCTTCCAAGGAGTGGCCAGTGGGTTTGAACCCCCGGCCTTCTGGTTAGCAGTCAAATGCCTTAGCCACTACACCACCAGAGCTCCCCCCCACCTTTTTTTTTGGTAGGGGACATATTACTTAGGAGTAAGAAATCATCACAATAGCTAATAAACCATAGACTCACACTAGTAACTGTCAGGCCAGTTCTGACCCATGGCAACCCCATGTGTTACAGAGTGGAGCTTCTCTACAGGGTTTTCTTGGCTGTAATCACTACAAAGCAGCTCTCCAGTCCTTTCTTCGATGGTGTCCCTAGATATGTTCAGACTGCCAGCCTTCAGTGGTCCAGCATAAACCATTTGTGTCACTTAAACCCATTGCTATGGAGTCGATCATGGCAACCCTGTAGAACAAAGTAGAACTGCCCCATAGTGACCCCCATAGGGATTCCAAGGCTGTAAATCTTTATGGAAGCAGACTGCCTCATCTTCCTCCTGTACAGTGGCTGGTAGGTTTAAACCACTGACTTATTGGTTAGCAGCAAAATACATAGTCACTGTGCAGAAAGCGTATAATCAAATACCAACCTGTGCTTTATAAGAGTGATACTAAAATTAAAAAGCGTGATATTACTAGTGGAAAATTCATTCCATTTTGTTAAATGGAATGAAGGCAGGTTGGAAGGTTTAGCTGAAGGAATTCAATGATTTCAGTTCCCCTTACCTTATTTCTTATCAAGGAGTCCTGTGGCACAATGGTTAAAGCACTTGGCTTCACTTCTGTAAAGATTACAGCCTAGGAAACCCTCTAGGGAGGGCAGTTATACTCTGTCACATGGGGTCACTTTGAGTCAAAAATTGACTCAACAACACTTAACAACACTACTTATCATACCCTAAGAGAGGAAAGTCCAATAATATCTAATAAGTTCCTGTAGTGTGATCCATTTTCCATGACATCTTTTTTCAATAAGTTACAGAAATAAACCGTTTTCTATATCATTGTGTTTGAGTTCTACCAACCCCCACATTGAGGAATCAATCAGTCTACTTCATACAGAGTCCACAGATCTGGTCCCCAATGTGGAATTCAGTTTTCAAAACTTTATCTGGAAGATCTTAAGTCCAAAACTGCCATCACCACCACCCTAAAAAGTACCCGCCCTTCTGTTGAGCAGAGAGCCTCAGCTTCCTGGATGATCTCAAGGTATCAGTTTAATTATTCTGCTGTGGTAGCACCAGACTGTCAAAAAGCCAAAAGAGGAGAGTGTTTCCACACAGGCAATGATCGACAGGGTGAACACAGCTGAGGGCTCATGTGAGGTAAAAGAGTAAAACAATCTCAACAACAACAACAACAAAAACCAAACTCACTGCCGTCCAGTTGGATCCCAAACATGGTGACCCCTCCTTGGGTTTCTGAGGAAGTATCACTGTGGAAGTACATTGCCTAATCTTCCTTCTGAGGAGTGGCTGGTGGGTTTGAACTGCCAGCCTTCTGGTTAGCAGTCAGACGCCTTAGGTACTACACTACCAGAGCTCCCAATCTCAACAACAACAAATAATTAAACAAATTCTTTTAAAAAATGGAAAGTAGTCATTGGATTTGTTCAAATGATTTAGTCTGGTGAAAGACAGAGGAGGTAGAGACAGCCAAGATAGGACAACTCATTTTAGGATTGGCTGTGAAGGGATGGAAAAAGGTAAGTGATAATTATCTAGAAGAGCATGTATTCCAAAGGAAAGGCTGCTTTTTTTAATGATAAACCAAAAACCAAACTTACTGCTATTGAATCGATTCCAACTCATAGCAACCCCTGTTGGGTTTCCGAGGCGGTAAATCTTTACGGAAGCAGATTGTCCCATCTTCCTTCCACGGAGTGGCTAGCAGGTTTGAACTGCTAACCTTCTTGTTAACAGTCAGATGGCTTAGGCACTGTGCCACCAGAGCTCCTTTTTCATGATAGTATATATATAAGAAATATTTTCTATTTCAATTTTTTTACATGTACGATTCAGTGACATTACTTACATTCATCATGTTATGAAACCACCACCACTCTCTGTTTCTAGATTTTTCCATCACTCATAAAAACTTGTTGCCTCTAAAGCAATGACTCCCACTTCCTCCCTTCCTTTCACCTTTGGTAACCACTAGTAAATGTTGGTCTCAATACATTTGTGTATTCTAATTATTTCATGTAAGTGGAATCATACAATATTTGTCCTTTTGCTGCTGACTTACTTCACTCAGCATGTTTTTAAGATTTAGCCATGGCGTAGCATGTGTCAGGACTTCACTTCTCTTTATGGCTGAGTAATATTTCATTGTATGTATGTTCCACATTTCCTTTTCTGTCATCTGTTGATAGACATTTAGGTTGTTTCCATCTTTTGGCTCTTGTGAATAATGCTGGCAGAGAAGTGTTTATTCTGAGAGAAAAAGACAGCAGTGCAGCAGTGGCTGTAGAGAAAGGGGTGAGAAGCCCATCGATGCTACAAAGGCCCTGACCAGGCAGGAGTCATAGTGGTCCAGAGAACGGGGATGGGGCTATCTCACCTGTGAAGTGGATGGCAGGGAATAAGGGTGAGTAGAGTATAGCTAGGCATTAGGCTGGGCTCAATGGAGATAGGCTTCATTTAATAACTTCTCTCTGTATAGCAAAAGGCAGGATCACCTGCCTGAGGTGAGGGAGGGGAGTGTAAGTGGGGATGTGAGGAAGGCTGAGGAGAGAGGGAACAGACCAGAACACTTGAAGGGATGTAGGGTGATTTTATCTAGGAGAGTCCTGCAGATCAGGCTGGGAGAAGGTACATGTTTGGGTGTTTTCAGGGCAGGGAATTGGAAAGATAAAGGTTCAAGATATTGAAGTCCTTATGAGGGAGTGGTTTAGCTCATTGGCTGAATGGCAAGAAAATGAAACCAAGAGGGAGCTGGTGGACCAGAAGGCAATGAAGGGACCAGGAAGCTGGCAGTCCTAATACTGTTCATGGACAGGTGGCATGAAAGCTAGGAGAGAAAAACCCTAGTTGGGAGGGACTGTTAGATTTTGGAGGTGAAGCAGCACCAAAATCTATGTATTTGTCATATTTCCTTTACCAGCTTATACGTTCTGAGAGAGCAAGGACTGATAGATCATGGTGCCCTCCAGAGATCATTGATAATAAGCATCAGACCTCATGGCTTTCATTCTATTATACATGTTATCACACTACATTAAAGGACACTTGGATCATGTAAACTCCTCCATCTCAGAACCAGTAAAGAGATGAGTTTGTTCTGAACAGTTCT